TTATATATATATATATATATATATATATATATATATTCCCGATATTCACCATTATCCGGCGACCTTCATGGGGCATTCTGGCCATCAATCTATCGTACTTCCAACTCCAAGTAAATTTACTGCACCCTTTTTATCGTTTGTTTTATATTAAGAAAAATGAAAATATCAAAATTATAGGGTTTTTCAACAAATGATTTTTTAACCTTTTTTTTTTTCCAAAATCATGTAATAGATTTTTTCTTATATTCATGTTAATGGCTGTTTTCGCTTTATTACATTTCATGTTGTGTACAAGCTTTTTGCTTTGTGCCTTCAATATTTATTTGACTTATTTCATTGTTAATGAGTATTGACTTATTGTTGTATTGTCTGATTTTTCCGTAATTTTCTCTATGTTTCCTTATTTTCCATTTTTACAATTAATTTATTCTATAGGTCCAACCGGTGAGTCGGTCCAGACTGACCGTCCCTAGTGGAATGGTCAAGTCTTAGAACATTGGCTTATTGTTGAACTTATGCTTTATTTCTTGTGGATTGGTTTCAGGATAAACTGCAATTTCTTTTTTCCAGTGCATTGCATATTCTAAGCTAAGTTTACAATTGTTTTTCTGTAAACATGCATGTGCAGGTGTCAGAAGAACGGTGTATCAATTTGTCTCATTTATGGCAGAGATGACCCTTGGGTGAGGCCCATTTGGGGCCTCAAGGTGAAGCAAAGGATGCCTGAAACTCCCTACTATGAACTCAGTCCTGCTGGTCATTGTCCCCATGATGAGGTTCCTGAGGTATGTTTTATTCCTCTTTGCAACTACTTTTTTTGGTGTTTAAGTCAGTTGATTTTGGTTTAACTTCTTTTGGCTTCAAGCAGAATGGTGATTCAAAATAAGATATTGATCGAACGTCTTTGACATGCTAAGAAAGTTCTTGCCATCTGAGCTACATCCCAAGCAGTTTCTGATTTTCCACTTCCCTTTACGCATTCTACATCAGATCTTTCTAATTATTTCTCTTATTTATACGTCATATTAAAGTATTCTTGTAGGCATGCTTTTCTGTGGTTTCATTGTCAAAAAATTGATAACCATCAATTGTTTTACAGAATTAATATCCTTGACTATTTATTTGGGACTGCCTTTTTTCAACTTTGCTCCCTTCTTTGTGGATGGAGAATGCACCATTTTTTTGGTGTTCATCAATGCATTCTTGGCCATCGTTCTATTTCGCGAATCAATATTACTTTCTATGTATAACTGCATCGTTGTTATTTTTTCCCTCTCCACTGCCTCTAAAGTTTCGGTAAAATTCATTGAACTTCATTTCTGTTAGTTCAATGCATCAATCGCTGTCACCATCTTGTTTGCCCATTTCCGATGGTAAACCATTTTACAATATACTGGGCGATTGCCCACACCTATTTTTTGTGACCCTTTCTGGGTTGTGTTTATCCTACTTTCCATTTGCAAAGTTGTTATAGCTGACAATTACTGATTTCAAACAAAATTATAGGTTTTAAAGCTCTCCCCCATCCTGACGTGTTGCATTCAACATCATCAAGAGCACTTTGATGCCTGCGCATTTTAACACCCATTTATTAGTCTTGTGATTGTATGGGAGCATCCATCCCCTCTTTTCTTTGTGGCCCACTGCTATCCTCAAAGCAATCATGGTTTGAACTTCGAAGGGCACTCTACTCCTATTTCTGTTTCTTCCTAACAGTACTGCCATCCTTAAGTTCACAAACTTTCCCTCTACATTTGGCATTTGACATTCTTTGGTAACCCATGCTCTAATGCAGAAATATTGTTTATAAATTCATCCTCACAGATCCCTTCACGCTTCATTGTGTTTTGATTCTGGCACTCTTACCCGTGCCAAGCAGTCAGTTCATTTTTTCTCTCATGACGCCACAAACAAGTATTCAGTTCATCATGTCAAATCTGTTGATTGGGATTATTCGATGACCTCCATTATAAGCAAGTTTAATACCCTGATTAACTGTGCCCATAATGCCGGATATTGTGTCTGAAAGACTGAAATGATGTAATGAGAACTTTGTTATCCTGCATATTTGAAAGATCGGAGTTCATAGTCTCTTCTTTGAGGGTAGCTTGAAATATGTATAAATTGATGACCATCTTGGTACTTGAAGGAACATGTTCTTCATGGACCCTATCAGTCTTTACTGAACAATGACAAGTATACCCTTCTTAGAGATGATTTCAAATGCCGAACACGTAACTAGATCTAAACTTCCCTGCCAACAAAGTTTTGTCAAATGTCAAAGTTACCACAGAGTACTGGAGGTTTCTTTGAGAAGCTAAGCGGTTTTACTTCAAAATTAGCTACATTTATAGCAGTCTTTTGCATATCGTGTTTCTTAATGAACTCCATTAGTATTTAGCTGTATCTTATCATAGTAAACTGCAGATAGTATTTTGCATATCTAAAGTTACCATGGTGGGTTTCTTATGAATTTTGCATTTCATAGTAATCTGCAGATGTATTTTCATCATGCAGATGGGTCTCGGTCCCAGTTACTGTATCTACATCTCCTCATGAGAAAAAAGTAAACTTTCAAACTTCATACTTATCCAAAAAATGGAAAATATTTGAAACAAGACAAAACAATTGAAGGATTTAAATATGAAGCAGCATCCCTCAATATGAAGAAGCACAGAAGTGGTTTTCTTGTCATTTTGTGTGTCTTCTATACTTTTACTTTCTCAGGAAGCAAGAAAGGTAAATACACTACCTTGCAATCATTTTGTGATCTGTGTATTGTTGCTTATTAGGTTGTGAACTATTTATTACGTGGGTGGATTGGGAGCCTGGAGTCCCGAGGCTCCATGGCATTGCCTCTTCTTGACGATCATGAATATGCTCTACAAAGTGGCATATCTAGAGATGTTGAATTTGACAAAGAAGGAAAAAGAAAATCAGTTCAAGTACGTTTCTTTGGGTCTAATGCCTCTATTTGGAACCAGCTAAGCTTTTACGTAAGGTCGTGGATTAAAAAGCTTGGAAGCAGACTTCAGTGACGAATGTGCTTTGGTGGTCTTTCTCACCATAAAGCATTAGCCCATATGGGTCATAAAGGTTGGAAATGCATGTATATTATTATTCTTAAGTTGGGCCATTTATTTTTTTGTTTACTTTGTTGTATTGTATTTGTACAGTAATAGTATTTGATGCATAAATAAAATTGTTAAGTTGACATTTGTGCCCTATGAGCTTGGAAACAGATCAACATTTTCAATTTGAAATTGACTAGTGTCTGATGTAGGGCTCATGCCATAGTTATAAAATGTCTTTACGCTTTGTGCTTGTGTATGATGGCCTTGTAAAATTGCGTTGGGGCTGCGGTCGAAGCTGGGATTACATGAAGACTTTGTTTTAACTTGTCGATTGCTGAAAAGCCTCAGGTTACGCCTTTCACAAATGGCTGGTTTTATTATTATTTTACTGTCTTTACAAAACAATATGTTTTCCTCTGTTGCTTGCATCCTTCTTGGTCTCTTGAGGTCCTTTAAAAGTTAAAAGGTGAAAGAAAAAGGGAAAAATTAAGCAAAAAACCTTTTTTGGACATTTGTGATGTAGCCCTGGATTACTTGACTTGGCGCTTTCTTTGCAATTGCTCAAAAGAATCAACTCCTTGCATGTTGCGTGCTGTTCTCCACATATCTATAGTTGTGTTGTGTTTTTTATGCCTAAATAATTAAGTTGTATTGAGATGAGCCTTTTTCCCCTGTTTTTTGTTTGTCTTCGAATTTCAAGGTTTTATTGAGGTGAATTGCACCATAAATATGATAAAAACCAGCAACTTTCGCAGTAACTTCATAAGACTCAAATAAAATAGTTGATGGATCAGAAAGATGAGATCTAAGATATTGGTCATCATCATCTTTATCCCAACTATTTGGGCTTGGCTGTTTAAATAACTTGGTACGAGTCTAAAGTAATAATAGGATGATCATACATCCTGGATTATTTAATTAGTGGTGTTGGGCCTGTAGTGATCCCATGTCATTAAGGGATGCAACAATCCTATGATATTTGTGCTCGTGAGTTTTGGACAAAAGTTGTGCGACTCTTTAGTTTATGTTTGGAATCACATGCTTTTCATTCACTTGGATCCTTGCATTTTTGATGGAGGGAAAAATTAATCTTGTAAAAGAAGCCTAAGGTTTGAGCTTTAGGTGGGAGAAACCTTAAGGTTTCTCCAAAATTGATTTTGTTTGGCTTGCTTATTGTTGGTTTTCTAGGTTTCTTTGAGTTCTCCTACATCAAGTGGTATTAGAGCCTGTGATCTACACATAAGTTACTATAGAAAGTACGAAAGTTACTGTAGCATGTATGGATTTATTGTGGTACCATTTTTTTTGGTGTCCCAGATCAACAACAAAGAAAGGAAGTTATAGTGGGGTTTAGGGTTTGCTGATTTTGGTCAAAGTTTTGCCAAAACAATTTAGATCTTGTTGGTTTTCAGTAATTTTGTTGATTATTTGCCTAGGGTTTGAGATTTCGGCAAATCCATGGTAGCGAGAAGGGGCCATAGAAGAGAAGTTTTCGTAGATACACTCCGTGATCCCATAGATGATAGAATTCAGGAACTTGAAAGGTAAGTACAGCAGCTGGCGCAACAGTTTACGAGCTTAAATAATAGTCGAGACGGTGATCTTTTAGCCCAAGATGATCTCAATACAAGCCTTTTCATTTTTGCACTCCGCGTGTGGAGTCGAGTGAACATGATAGCGATAGAAGACCTAGATGTGGAGAACATCACTATAGGGTTTTCAATTTGAAGGATGCATTTTTATTTTGAGACAGATTGCATGGAAAGTCAATAAATTGTAGATTAAGATTTACCATCAATCTTCGATATATATTGAGATGAACAACAATATTTCTTTGGAGATTCGATCTATAATAAAGATCGAGATGATGGCGAAGATATATTGGAAGATGGTGAAGAATATAGAGAGAAGGCAACAACAGGACTTTGTTATACGTCATTTTTTACGTACGTACACCCCTGTTGCAAATAAGTAGAGAGGCAGTGACGACCTGGTCCTACTGGTATCCAAGACACCGTCAGACCAAGGGAACACTGCAAAATAAGCCTAATGCTAGGCAGCCTTGGAAAAAGTACTATCATGTCAAAAAGAGACCTTACAACTACAACCATATGCTAGGGACCAAATTTAGGATTCAAAACAATACCAGACCACTATCATTGCATCCAGAACGTCGAAAAACCCCCAGGGACCAAATTTGGGCTCAATCAGACCTCCCATGAACATTCGGGGCCCAAATTACCTCAAACGGGTAGGTTGTACACTATTGCGGTGTGGCCTCACCAAACCAGTCCCCATTCATGGAGGCTGCGTTATTCACATCTCGAGATCATTTGCAAATGCCTAGAAATCGTTTGTTTGGAATATAAGTAAGTTCAAATTCAGATATAAGCTAGGTCTCGACGACCCGGTCATTTTGACATATGGCGCGTGTCATGACGTGACCCAGAACCAAAGCTTTTCTAGAGAGAAGATAAACTCGAAACCACATAAATCATATCTTAAAATACATCTCGAACTTCGTGAAGCAAAAACTTAGAGATTCGCACATTAGATCATCGCGAAGTCTGGTCCGATGAGACCACATCATGAAGTGCTGCAAGCTAGTATAACTTTCGCATTCAATCTAAGGTCGGATAATCATGAATTCCAAGGTTGAAGAATCGCCAGAATCCCTTTTTCCGGCTATCTCCCGGAGAGATACTTCAAGCAAAAATCAAAACGGACAAAACTTGGTGCAAAACGACAGTAGCAGTCTCCCCTTTGATTTGCAATCAAAATTAAGACTCGGAGCACCATGGATTGCATTGCATTGACAGTCAAAGTTTACGATCTAGCCTGATTTTTACCACTCGGGAAAAGTCCGTCTCAAGACGATAAAAAGACATGAAACTCTTCAGAATCAAGCAAGCATCAAGACTACGATGATGGGTTGTCAGAACCATCGCCACAAACATCCAAAAAAACTTCCAAGACCTGGTAATGACGAAAGGTCCCTCAGAGAGGGATGGTTTCGTCGTTAGCGCAAAAGGTTTAAGTGGCATTTTGGTCATTATTCTTAAAAATCAAGATTTTATTGTAATTTGTATTAATTATAATTCGGCTTTGAGCATCCACCCTTTGGTGGGTCCTCTATATAAACAAGCCTAGGTCAATTGTAAAAAGGTTGGATCATTCATTAACAAAATCGAAGCATAGAGCTTGTGTCACTTGTCATTTTGCTTCTAACCCTTGGATCCAACAACGAGAAGAGAGAAAACTTTCAGAGAGAGAAAATACCCCTGACCCATTCTGAGCGCACGATCCCACTCTCTCTCTTTTTTTCTTAGGCTAGGCCATGTGTCACACCCCAAGAATTTACAATACTATTATTCTTGAGATGTGACGGACAAAACATATATACATCTATTGATAGGACAAATTTACAGTGGCGAGGTCTTACATAGTAAATAAAGAAAGCTAGCACAACAACAGTATCTTCCAAGGTTGATCTTGACTAGCACTCAAAATGAATCCGCAGTTATCCTGAAAAAATGTTTACCATAGTTTGATGAGTTTGGCTACTCAATAAGTGATCATCATAATCCTAAAAATAATCATGATTGAAAGATATCAATATTTTCCAAAATGAGATCTATTAACAGAAATGCATCGACAATTTTACTTTCAATAAATGCATAATTAAGTATAATCCGAGTAATTGAAATGCTTATAACACTTTTAACGGCAGTAGATAATTCAAAGGATTTCACAAAATACCCTACTGGCGTCCCAAGTAGGTCACCTATATACCCCATCAGCGTCCTGATGGGTCCACTTAATCCCTATCGGCGTCCCAGATAGGTCCACTTAATCCCTGCAGGTCCACTTATACTTCACCGGCGTACCGGATGAGTCTACTTAATCCCTACCGGCGTCCCAGATAGGTCCACTTATACCTCACCGGCGAACC